CTCTGTAAATCATGGTTCTTTGACTAAATACAAATATTTTTTAAAAAGAAAAAAATAAAAACAAAAAAGAAAATACGCTTCAGTGCTTTGAGCCGTTGTCGCGGCCCATCAGACCTATGGATTTATTTCTAGTTCGGTGGCCACCGCAGGTGGTACCTTGGGAACTCTTCCTGGCTCTGTGCTCAGGAGTGATCTCTGGTAGTGACGGGGACCATCTGTGCCAGGGATTCCAGCAGGATCACTGGGACAAACGATTAGCACCTTGACTCTTGTACTCTCTTTCCAGCCCCGACAAATCTACCTTATACATAATCAGAACTCAAAAGGTTCGTCTTTGGACACCAAGAGAATTTTTTTTTTTGTCCCAAAAATTTTTTTTTAATTTTTGGAAAGAAACGTATATGTACAAGCATGCGTGTGAGTACATACTTTTATTTGCGTGGTAAAATTCTGAAATAGCAGATAAGTAAAGTCTATTTCTAAATGGCAGACCTTGGTTAACTGGATTCATTTTTTGTTATTCATTTGCTAGAAGAAAACATCAATTATCTTAGAATCAGTAAAGCAACACTTACTTTTAAATATTTCTTTTTACAGACTTACAAACTTTCGTGATTCCGATTCAGTCATGCAACGTTCCAGTACCCATCCCTCCACCAGTGCCCATTCTCACCACCAACATTCCCAGTATCCCTCCCGCCACCCGCTAAAGAGAATTTCGAGACACTCCCTAACCCGCAGCCCTCTCCCCCGCTCCTCTCCGATAATCCCTTCCCCGGATTCCTCCGCCCCTTTCTCAAAATCTCGCGGTTGCTCCCGTAAACCTCGCGAGAGTGCCGGGTCTCAAGAATTCTCCCAGGAGCCTCCGCTCTTCCTCTTCCGTGAGTGGCCGTCGGTGAGTGTTGTCGGGGTCGTCCCGGCCGTGTCCAATCCGCCGGGTATCGGCGCCATCCCGGCCCCCCGGGCGCCGGCGCCTGGGTCAGCGTGAGGAGGACGCGTATGGCGCCTGCTTCCGCGCAGCGGGCCGCGTCCGAGCGGCTCTGTCCGCCGTGCGGGCGTCGCGCGGCCCGGCCGGGCCCCGAGCGGGATGGGGCGGCCGCCGGGATGGTCGCTCGGGTCCCCGCCGGGCCGCGCCGCTGACGGGCGCGCGCATCTCTTGCAGGAGGTCCCGAGATGGTGCGCTACTCGCTGGACCCCGAGAACCCGACGAAATGTAAGGGGCCGCGCCTTGCAGGGAGCTGCGGGTGGGGGGCACAGGCCGGGGAGGGGTGCGCAGGCATCGGGCTCCCAGTTCCCCTTCCCGTCCCCACGTGTCTTTGCTCTCTCGGCACAGCATGCAAGTCCCGGGGCTCGAACCTTCGCGTGCACTTCAAGGTAAGCTCCCTCGGGTTGCCGTGCGGCAGCCCCTCCTCCGCCCGCGCCGCTCCCCCTACCCCCCGCCCGGCCCGTCTCGAAAAGGGGCGCTGCGGTGATGCACGCTTAGGACACCTTTGGATTGCCCGTGAAAACGCATCGAGTCTGAGCAGCCCCCTGGTGGGAGTGTCGCGGCGTGGGGTCGGGGGAAGTTGGGCGAGAATGGGGGGTGATGCATGAACCTTTCAGAAGCCTGATGCTTAAATGAAAACTGCAATTCTGCCCGGTTCTGGTTCGCTCCCACGCACATCTTCCAAGAACAGACGGTACAGTTTTATACTGGTGCCGCATGTTGGTTATTTGAAAATCCGGGGTGGGGGGGGTGGCTCATTGTGTTTTGTTTTATTTATTTTTGTGTGATTCTTGAACAAGGTTATTTCTGTTACTTTCAGAACACCCGGGAAACGGCTCAGGCCATCAAGGGCATGCATATCAGAAAGGCCACTAAGTACTTGAAGGATGTCACTCTGCAGAAGCAGTGTGTGCCCTTCCGGCGTTACAACGGTGGCGTTGGCAGGTGCGCCCAGGTAAGGATTCTTGATTGCCATTGGGGAAAAAAAGTTAATAATAAAAGTGGCTGGGTGGGGGCGGGGGGCAGGAATGGTTCATCTTTACCTCCAGTCCACCTCTTGCTGGTTGCTGTGATGACTAACTTAGGACACCTTTGGATTGACCGTGAAAAAAAAAATGTTCTGAGCAACCTTGGATGTCTATGAAATGATCTCGGTTTGCTTATAAGGTTGGGGGAAGTGACTGATGGCTTCTCTGTTTTCTTTCAGGCCAAACAGTGGGGCTGGACACAAGGTCGTTGGCCCAAAAAGAGTGCTGAGTTTTTACTGCACATGCTTAAAAATGCAGAAAGTAATGCTGAACTCAAGGTACTGGGACATCAACATTTTTCAATACATGTAGCTAGGTTGGTGGTCTGGTTAATTTCTGGTTTGGATTTTTGTTTCCCAAAGGGTGGTGGCCATGCATCGCCACTTGGGGGGGGTAGGTTGGAGGTGGTTTCTTTGGTTGCTTCTCTGAAGTTACCAACAAATCAAACCATTGTCTTCAAAGATGTAGCTATTTCTTGCATTCCTTTACCAATGACTTGCACACTTACGCCATAATCCCTTTGGGGAAAAAACAATGGTTTGTGGATGATTGTTTTGTTGAGGGGAGCACACCTAGCAAGAGTATTCTGGCTCTGCACTCAGGGATCACTTCTGGTTGGACTTGGGACCATAATGTGATGGGGCCTGAATACCCACTTGGCCAGGTGAAAAGCATCTTGCCTGTTGTGCTGTCTTCTCCCAAATGGTTGGGATCAAACATGGTAATTCCCAAGCCCAGTTTTCCTGGGCCAACTTCACGCGTAAGATCCAGTAACCAGAATGATTGCCTTAGCATGTTGTGAAAATGGCTTGTTCTCTACAAAACCAAGATTGCTAAGTTTTATTTTCAAGTGATAAAATTGATAAATCATGGGCATAAAGGATTTTTAATTTTGTTTTTTATTACCCTGGGTTTTCTTACTTGGGGAATCGGAACCCAGCATTGGAATAGGAAAATACCTGGGTTTGTTGAACCTTTCTGTCTGCCAAGCTGTGCTTCCCAAATGGTGTTCCCTTGAGGTGTAGGACCTGACCCTGCCAGACCTTGAGCCTTTTTTTCTTTTTGGGTCATACCCAGTGATGCTCGGGGGAGTTACTCCTAGCTCTGCATTGGGAATTAGTACTGGTGTTGCTCGAGGGAACATACGGGATGACGAGAATCCAACCTGGGTTGATTTAATACCATTCCTCTTTGGTACTAAAATGCTCTAAAACTGATAATGAAAACCTAAACTGTTACGCACTTGGAGGTGCCATTTAAAAGCTATTGCTTTTAGCACTGATACTTGGGATCTATGTTTTGGTATTTAGAGTGAATATTATTTGAAGTGTAGAGGTTTGACTTTCAAAGATTATTGCTATCCGATTCTGTGATTTGTGGTCTTAAGATTGTTTTCTTGTTTCTCTGCTCCCCCTCTCAGGGTTTAGATGTGGATTCTCTGGTCATCGAGCATATCCAGGTGAACAAAGCACCCAAGATGCGCCGCAGAACTTACAGGGCTCATGGGCGAATTAACCCCTATATGAGCTCTCCCTGCCACATTGAGATGATTCTTACTGAAAAAGAACAGATTGTTCCTAAACCTGAAGAGGAAGTCGCACAGAAGAAAAAGGTATTTGCTTATTGCTGAGTTTCATTTGTGTGTGATCTTCGAAAGCACTGCTGGTTGCTGTGATGACTAACTTAGGACACCTTTGGAATAACCGTGAAAGGAAAACTGTTCTGAGCAACCTCTTTGACCATGTTTGCAGATATTTATGCTCCAGCTTAACAGTGATCCTAGACTCCTCCTCACGCTTACAATAAGTTTTTTCTTTTATTTGAACATGATACTCCTTGCTACACGTTCGAGCACAGTGTTCTCTTCATAGTACTTCACGTATACCAGTTCCCACACCACAGAGTAATTTATTTTGACGTTCCCAGTTCTTGTGGTGAAACTTACGAGAGGGTTTCTTCAAAAGACTTTACTTTTTCTTTTCCCAGATATCACAGAAGAAACTGAAGAAGCAAAAACTTATGGCCCGGGAATAAGCTCAGCATAAAATAAAAATCTTAAGTAAACTGACTTGATTGTGGTTGTGTTTATTAGTAAAACAGTACTACAAAATGAGTCCTATGCTTGGAATGAAAACAGTTGATGCAGTTTACCTATTAACAGTTTATGCTTTTATCAAGTTTTAGGGCATTTTAATGCCAAAGAGGAAACTTCACAGGGTTAAGTGTCAGCCCTCCAATCCAGCCTAAAGTGGTTCTTTATACAAATTTGGCTGTTCAGTTTCTGTACAGCTCCCCATATTGGCTTTGATCTAGCATGTCAGGTTCATCCTTAAAAGTATTTTGCGGTATACAGAGATCCTCCCTGCATCCCACATGTTCACACGGCCGGAGTAAGCCAAGTGTGGAGTCAGGAGTGATATGACCCAAAACTTTTTAAAGTACCTTATAGTTGAGCCCAGTCATTGGCGCTTTCAAGCACCGCACAGCTTTGGAAATCTTGGGGGCATGGATCTCCCCACTTGTGTATGTATGTCCTAGAGGGAATTGCACCATTTGGTTGTTGAGTATATGTTGGTGCTTGGTGACAAAGCTTTAGCCCTTGTGTTCAACTGAGTGCCCTGGAGACCTTGCTAATTGGGAGTGACGTAAGGGCCAGGACCTATGCTTTGAGTGCTGGGAACTGCGTGGCGTGGGCTGAAGGAAGGTACCAGCCAGATGGGCAGCCACATGTGTCAATAGCAACGGGTGTAGGGGTCATCTGTCCGGGCGGCGGCCAGGATTCGCGCTTCTCCCAAGAGCACTGAGGTTCCGCGGCCCCGGAAGTCCCGCCCCGCCCGGATGCCGCCTGCGAGTCTTCCGGCTGACGCAGCGCGCCTTTGTCGACCCATTGGCTCAGCTGACGCAAGCCCCGCCCTCCGGAAGTGCGCCGTTTCCGCTGCGGCTTGGTGGTCGCGGGTGAGCGGGCCGGGCTTGGCCGGGCTGGCAGGGTGGGCTGCTGCCGCGGTGCTGTCGGGCTGCTCTGCAGGCGCCGGCCCCTGACGCGTCCCGCCCCGCCGTTCCGGTCCTTTATCCTCCTGCGAGGCGTCGCCGGGGCCCCTCCACCCGGCCCCGCTCTCCTGTCGGGTAACACGACGCGCGGCCGGGCCCCTCCCGCCCCCCGCCCTGCGCCCACCGCCTCCCTCCCTCCCTCTGCTCCCTGGAAAGAGGCTCCTCGCCTTTGCTTTCGGTCATTTTCCTCGTTCTGTCGTAAGGCTCGAAAATTGATTTGGAGACAGGAAATACAGTATGTCTATGTATCTGTCTATATATATATTACATATATGTATATTTCTAAGTCCATGGAGACCTTGCTGGGTTCAGGGCTCCACTTATAAGAAGTAGAAGGCTATCCTAGAATCAGTGTGAACTAAGAGAAAACTGCAGCTTCATTATGAAGTCATTGTGGAGAAAAAAAAATAATTACGACATGAACGATTAGTAGTTAGCCTGTAACTTCCAGTCCAACTATTAGTAATTTAAGTAAACTAGTAGTTCTTTTAAAATTGTACGGACTTAAAACTCGATTGTAGAGCCTAACGAAGTTCTCTTAGCACTGCCTGTTGTTTTGAAGGGTTTATTTGCTCTCGAAGATTTGGTTAAAATCTTCTGCTTTTGAAAGGAGAAAAGGCAGCGCGTTGAGCTAGAAAACCAGAACTGGAAATCCTGATCTTAGCCAGCTCTGTTTACTAGTTATCTTTCTTGTGAACTTTGGACAGATCTTAACGTTTGGGTGTTCCTTTTTTTTTTTTATTCCTTTTTCTTACTAGCAGCGCTTAAATAATATGCACAAACACTGTATCTCTGTAATGCTGTTTATTGCCTCCTCGGTATACCCTACTTTAGTGTGGTACTGAGAATGAAGTCACTGTATTGTCTTCATCTTACAATACAAAGGAATTACGGCACAGGCTGGGTACAGAGTTTGCCCACGAATACCAATGGTGAAAGTGGATCCTGAATGCAATCAGTTGCCAGCCAGTGGGCTTGATAAGCTGTGATACCTCCAGACTTAAACCAAACACTCCCTCGGTGACACTCTAGGGCTGGGGAGAGTTCATTGCAGAGGGCTGGGGCCTATACTTTGATCCCCAGGCTGCTGAGAGTGAGCCCCGAGCATGGAGTCAGGAGCAGCCTCTAAACGAACAAAAGCAGATTCTAAATTTCCGTGGCCAGATGCTACAGTTCCTTGAAGGCGGAAAGAGAGCAGTCCCTTGTCTCGTTTTTCTGTGTCGGGGCCACATCCTGTGGTGGCGGGGTTCCCTGAAGTCCCTGAGGGTTCGTTCCACAGCACAAAAAGAGTAAAAGTCATCGTTCCCCATCTCTTTCATGTTTTGTGCCTCCTTAAAGACAAAGCCCCCCCCCCCCCCCCCCCCCCCCCGCCTCACTGAGGGCATTCTTGTTTGCCAGGACTCAAACCCAAGGCCCTTAGCTTTCTAGGCAAGCCCTCTCCATCACTGGGCCGTCACACAGAGTGTTTCTATGATTAAATGAATTGATGTGCCCAGAGGGTACATCCCTCCCCCACCCCTCTCTTTTCCCCTCTCTCTTTCCCTCTCTCCCCCTCTCTCCCTCCTTCTGGGCATTATGGTTTGCAATACAGGTGCTGAGAGGTTACCATGTATCCCTTTACCTACTTTCAGCATGCAGTTCTTGTCCAGAGTAATCATTTCCAGCTCTCACTCTTGGCTTCTCTCTCCTCACTTGCCCTTCCCCGCGGCTGCCACCACTTGTAGCGAACTTCCGTCTGTGTCCTCCTGGAAGGCGCAGCGTTTTCGGATTGAAGTTTGACCTTCAGTGCCCCTTCCGTGGAGGTCGGTTTCTTTGGTCACGCATCTCTGGTGAACTGACTCCTTGTTCTTTACCCTCATGCATAGCAGCAGTGAACGAGCGTGACACGATGGTGTGCATTCCCTGTATCGTCATTCCGGTGCTGCTCTGGGTCTACAAAAAGTTCCTGGAGCCATACATCTACCCTCTGGTGTCCCCTGTGGTTAGTCGAATATGGACTCGGAAAGAAAAACCACAGGTCAATGACAAAGGCAAAGGGGATTATAAGGTAAAAGCATCCAGGGCCTTAAGCAAGGGGGGGGTGGGGGGGGGGTGGAGTCAAGGCAGCATCTTTAGCTTTTGGAAAAATAGGTTCTTGGTACCAGAAATTTCCAGCAATGGAACTTTAAAGCGCTTCCTTTTAAAAATAGGGGTTTGGGTTTTTGTTTGTTTTTAAAATAGTTGGGGGCGGGACTGGAGCAATAGCACAGCAGGAAGGGCGTTTGCCTTGCACACGGCTGACCCGGGTTTGATTCCCAGCATCCGATATGGTCCCCTGAGCACCGCCAGGGGTAATTCCTGAGTGCAGAGCCAGGAGTAAGCCCTATGCATCGCCAGGCGTGACCCATAAAGCAAAAAAAATAAAATATATATATATATATAGAAAATAGTTGGGGGCTGGAAAGTTTGTACAGTGGGTAGGGCGTTCACCTTGCATGCGGTTGACCCACGTTTGATCCCCAGCATCCCATATGGTTTCCCTGGCAGCGCCTGGAGTAATTCCTGAGTGCCGAGGTGAGCCACTTGCAAGGCAAGTGCTTTTCCTCCTGTACTAGAAGTACATTTTTGTCACTTTGAAGTGTTTTTTGTTTGTTTTTAAAGACTTATTTCATAATTAGTATTATTAGAATTCCCTAAAATCTCTTTTCATTTTAGGGTGCAGCTACAAACGAATTACCAGCAAAGGGACCAACAGAAATCTGTGATAAAAAGAAATATTAAAGGAGTTTCCCCAGCGGGCATCATTTTTAAAATGGAACTGATTATCTGAAGCACCATTTTGTAATTGTCTCTTTTTTTCCCTGAGACCAGAATTTGGGGTAGAGTAACTATGCACCTAATATGTAGTATTTATATTTAAGATGTACTTCATTATATTTAATGACCTCATTCCAAGTTCTTTTTTTTTTTCTTCATTAAAATTAGCTTTCATTTCTATCACTACACAGTTTTTTTTTCCCTTTAATACTATTGCTTGCCAGCTAACGCTTCCATTAATCTAGTTAGTATTGAACTAGTTTCCCAGAATCATTAGGACCTCCAGTAATGGCCATCCCCTCCTCACGGGCAGCACGCTAAACTGGAGACTTGGAGACTGCGTCCTCAACCTGCGTCCTCAACCTCTTTGTTGGTTAAGGTTGAGAGAGACTTGGAGCTGGAGCGATAGCACAGTGGGTAGGGCATTTGCCTTGCATGCGGCTGACCCAGGTTTGATTCCCAGCATCCCATATGGTCCCCTGAGCACTGCCAGGAGTGATTCCTGAGTGCAGAGCCAGGAGTAACCCCTGTGCATCGCCAGGTGTGACCCAAAAAGAAAAGAAAAAAAAAAGGTTGAGAGAAAGTGGACCTGTAATCACGAAAGGCACCATCTATTTTTCGCTTCCTCATATTTGCAACTTTACGTAGATTCAAGAACCTCACAGGTGCAAGGCCTTCGTGCCCTCTTAAGTTTAAGGGCCTTAAGATAAGGATCGTTTTCTTCTCTATGTTCTGCCTTCAAATTATTATCCTCTACTTCGAGAAAGGCTTTGATCTCTGAAGCAGCTCCTGGAAGCATGACTCCGTGAGGAAGTCCTTCGTTGATGAACGCCTTCATCGTCATCTACGGCGTCATCTCAGCATAGGTAGCAACTCACGTGATTTGTCCGATGAGCGCCTTTCCAGTTGGTCCAGTAGAAGAATGGTTTTCAAGCCCCAGCAATCCTCTTACAATAAATGTATCCAGTCCTGAAGATGTTAAGCAAGCTGCAGCTTTTCTCTAAAATCAAATGATGGACTGATTTCTACAATCGGTGGCTGAAGGCCTTGTTTTACAGTTGTATACGTGGCACTGAACCTCTTAGTGATCTGGGTTATCGGATTTTGCTGTGGCTTTCGGATTAAATGAGAAAGTAAGGCTACCGTTGACTTAAGTATCGCATTAGTCTCCCCTACCCTTGCAGTGATGCCGTCAGGTGCCCATCCAAGTTCTTTCCTTTTGTTATTGGGCACTCCTCGGGATGAAAGTATCCAGGACCCAAAGGGAGAGCCTCCAAGAGTATAGGAAGCAGGAAATGAGGCTAACAAAAAAGTTAATGGTGACAGCCACACTCTCTCCAAGTGTGTACTTGATCATCCTCTCTATGTGGCGAACAGCCAAAGCTGCTGCAGCTAAAACCTCCCCTGGTGGCAGGGCCTGTGATTCTCTTTGCAACAATGTTCCCTATTTCCTAAGAGGATGTCATTGTGTCCTCTATCACTACAGTTTGCAAGATTATAAATAAGTAGAAGATTTGTGCCAGTAGAAAATATTATTAAATCAGAACTTGAAAACCCATTGGGCCTCTGGCTTTCATTTTTGTGAGTTTGCTGCTTGCTCTGACTTCTCTGAGCTCTTCCAATTTGGGCAAAAAACAACTTCACTGTGAAACAGTGCATTAAGACTACTCAGTGATGAGAAACTGGTGTATTTGGAGGGGGAGGTAACGAGTCTTAAGTAGTTACTAACTATGTTAATAGATAAGCAGAACAGCTTATCTCTGAGAGAACTCCTTACTGTTTAGTGCTCTGAGGTAAACTGAAAGCACGGGACAGTAGGGAAAACTTGAAAAAGAGGAACTGCCTTTCCAGAAATGCCGATGGACACAGCCTGTCCTCACTGTTCAGCACCACTTCTTTTTCAGTGAAGGCTTAGTCATGTAGAAGGAGATCATTTTCTATTCGAAAAGCACAATTATAATAGCATGGGGCTGGAGCGATAGCACAGTGGTAGGGTGTTTGCCTTGTATGCGACTGACCCGGGTTTGATTCCCAGCATCCCATATGGTCCCCTGCGCACTTCCAGGAGTAACCCTGTGCATCACTGGGTGTGACCCAAAAATTAAAGTGACGAGTTGCCCCCCACGAGAGGCTCTCCAGCATGGCCATGGCTCCAGAGGCAAAAGGACTTAATCCAGAGCCCGGCAGCTTGCGGCAGAAAAGTGAATGGACTATGCGTTAAACTGGCTCCATGCCTCCCCGGGAGGGAAAGGATGTCGCTCCCTTCCCTTCTGTCGTCCCCCTCAACCCCCCTCCCAGCAGCAAGGTGGCCACCGCCTCAGAGCTTATTGGAAAGCCAGGTATGAGCCGGGGATGACGGGGCAACTGCAGTCTCATGGGAAGGGGGGCGTTCCCGTCTCGTCCTTCACGCTGTACCGAGGTCACGAGTTGTCCCCCATGAGCGGCTCTCCACGGCCATAATACTAGATGCACTGCAACCAATCTCGTAATTATCCGGCTCTTGGCAGAAATCCCTCCAGACTTACCTAGTAAAATATCAGAAATCCAAAATTGCGTGGCTGCTGTTGCGGCTACGTGACATCATATGGTTCTCATAACCAGCGATAGAAAACAAATTATTTCACAATGCCTTTTCAGCAGTTCTGCTTGTTGGGGGGAAATTCTAAACAATAATGGTGCATGTTTTGTCAAAATGATGTAACCAGAGTAGAGAGAGAGTTAAGTAGAAATCATGTGCCTCACAGGCATTGGGAAGGATGGGAGGTGGGTATATTGGGGTTCTTGGTGGTGAAAAATACGTATGGGTGAAGGGAAAGGTGTTTGATCATTGTGTGACCGAGACTTAATCTTGAAAGCTTTGTAGCTTTTACCACAGTGATTAAATAAATATAACAAAAAAAAAAAATTAGTATGGTGAATGCTTCTGGGTGACAGTATTTTCTTCCTTGTGTTCTTCAAGGGCTGATTTCTGTCTGCCCAGGTGGGTTGATCCTGACACTGCGTGGTTTCCTGAGTACCCCTAGATGTGTACACCAGAACAAAAACAGACCAAAGGGCAGGGGCAGGGAAAGGATTTTCTCTCCATTGCTGTTGTGTTCCAAGAGGTGTGGTCTTCACAGCAGAGGTGGAATGAGACAGTTCTCTTCGGCCCTGGGCCGCTGGCCACTCATCACCGGATTTCAGAGTACGGCTCAATGACATGCACACCATCATGGCATATTTGTGGTTTCTGTCCAAGGAAGAAAAGTTGAAAGGTCCCCAGCAATGTCCCGGGTCTTCCTGTGGCTCTGCTAAACAACATGTCTGGCCTGTCGTGGAACTTAGACCTTATTTGCCGTAAACAACGAGGTTTCATCTTTCCTGCTATATCTACACTTGAAGTTTATGATAGGGGCCCTTCCACAGCTACATTTGGCTGATACATTTAGGTGGTTATTTCTAAAATGATGTACTCCAAATGACAGATCCAGGGATTGGAGAGAGGGCAGGTGGTTAGGTGTTTGCCTGTTTGCATCTGACCCCAACTTGACCCCCCTCCCACATCAAGTCCTTAGCACCTGAGAACCACCTCACTCCTTAGCACCAGTCCCCTCCTGTAAGCAAAGTGAAAATAACACTCGGTGAAATAGACAAGAGCAAATAAAAAGTGAAAGTTCATCAGGGTTGACGATGGTGCACAGGTTGGAACGCACACTATATGCGGGAGTCCCACAACCTAGGGCTCCATGCTGCCTGCTGTAGCCCAAAATGCTACACAAAAAAATACCATTTCCTCATCCTAGCTCTGTGGACATGCCTTTTTTTTTCTCATGTAGCTTTTAGCAACTTTCTATAATTCCTTATTAATCACCAAGTAGTGGAAAGTAGTACATTGCATCCCTTCCCTTAGTCACTCGGTTAGCTGTCGCTTCTGCCTTCATGTTTTCTCTCCTTATCTCTAAGCAGCTGTAGTCCTACCTTTCCACACTCACGGTCAAAGGTAGGACTACAGCTGAATCTTACGAAGACAATGTTTATGAGAAACAGCCTCGTTCTTGATGCCCCATTCGCTCTCAACGGAACGACCATCTCCGAATGCAACAGCTATGTGTACCTAGGTCGAGAGGTCAACATGACAAATGGCACCCGAGCTGCGCAGGAGGAAGAGAGCGGCTTGGAACGCCTTCAAGAACGTCGAAGAAATAGCTAAGAGGACGAAGAACCTCCGGCTCCGGGCACATCTCTTTGATTCCACTGTTCTTCCTGCATTAACATATGCCTCAGAGACCTGGACCCTACGAAAACAGGATGAGAACGCTATTCAGGTCTCCCAAAGAAGAATTGAAAGAGCTATGCTTGGAATATCACATTTCACTCAAATGAGAGAAAGAATACGGAGTTCCGACCTCCGTCGACGATCAAGAATCAGGGACGCTGTCTCAATTGCCAAGGTGTCAAAAATCAGATGGGCTGATCACATAACGAGATTTGGAGACGACCGCTGGACTAGAGCTGTTACCAACTGGATTCCACGGGATGTCAAAAGACCATGTGGCCACCCACCTACCAGATGGTCAGACTTCTTCGTCAAGATCATGAACGATCGGTTTGAGGCTCTTCATGTTCCCAGAGCGAACAGATGCCATTGGGCTACACTAGCACGCGACAGGGACAAATGAAGACGTTACTGGCGCCCGCTCGAGCAAATCGACGACTAACGGGAAGTTAAGTGATTTAAGATGTGATCTCTAAGCAATGTGTATGTTCAATTTTTTGAGTTCCCGATTTCTGACAGCACTGGTTCCCTGCCAGAGGCTGTCTCGCTGTATTTCCGCTGAGCCTCCCACACTTCATATGTTTTTGTAAATTTGGGTTGTCATTCATCGAGGTTAAGAAGATTCTGCGAATGCCACATGCTCGCTTCACCCCTCCCTCTCTCTGATCCCTTTCCCTTCCTGTTCCGCAAAGCTGTTAAGCTGCTGGCAAGGGGCCTCTAGGAGTATCACCTGGTGAGGAGCAAGAGAGAGCTTCTCAGAGCAGTTTTTTGGCTTCTTGGGGCCCGTTCAGGCCAAAGCCATTGTCCGTTAAGACTCACACCAGCGGCCGGAGTGATAGTACAGCAGGTAGGGTGTTTGTTTGCCTTGCATGTGGCTGACCCAGGTTTGATCCCCGGCATCCCAGATGGTCCCCCGAGCACTGCCAGGAGTAATTCTTGAGTGCAGAGCCAGGAGTAACCCCTGAGCATTAAAAAGTAGTGGACCAAGTAGTAGAAAGTACATTGCATCCTTTCCCTTAGTCTCTCAATTAGCTGTCACTTCTGCCCTAATGTTTTCTCTCCTTATCTCTAAGTAATGTGTATGTTCAATTTTTTGAGTTTTCAATTTGGCTTCCTGGGGCCTGTTCAGGCCAGAGCCATTGCCCGTTATGACTCATATCAGAGGCCGGAGTGATAGAACAGCAGGGAGGGTGTTTGCCTTGCATGCGGCTGACCCAGGTTCGATCCCCAAGCCATCCCATGTGGTCCCCTGAGCACCGCCAGGAGTGTGACCCAAAAACCAAAAAAACTAGTCATGACGTTCAACCTCATCTGTGCCTTGCTCTTTTGGAGCTGATCCTGCTGTATCTGAGTCCCTGCTTGTCCCCAGTGTGCCTTCCTCTGCTTGGGGGTCCACTGTTATGGTGAGCATCGCCACAGTCCCCACGCGGGCTGACGAGTGTGCCCACTGGCCTTTACCTCCAGTTCCCTTTTGCTCTGGCTGGCACCTAGATATGGTGCTGTGGCAGACCGGGCCGTCCTGGCGTTGCATTGCCCCCAAGGACAGCCAGAGTGTGACTCCTGAGTGCGGCATTGGGAGTAGCCCCAGGCCTTAGGGGACCAAGTATAGCCTAGTTTTTAAGGTTGGGGATATAGCTCTGGTTAAGTACATGCTTCTCATGTGTAGTGTCCTTGATTCGATTTTCATGGACTCAAAGGGAAAAAAAATGTATATATGTGGATACAATAATGACTTATTGGGACCTGAGGGATAGCACAGTGGGGAGGGTGTTGCCTTGCACGCAGCCACCTGGAGTTGGATCTCTGGCACTGCATATGAGTGAGCCCTGAGTGCAGAGCCAGGAATAAGCCCTGAGCATTGCTGGGTGTGGTTCAAAAATTTTTTTTAAAAAATGCTTAATAGCTTGAATAATGAATTAAGAGCTTTGAAAAATTACCTTTATGGGTAGTGGGATAGGGTGCATGCCTTGTATGCAGCTGACCTTGATTCGACCTCTGGTATCCCATATGGTCCCCTGAACCTTCCAAGAGTGATCGAGTGCAGAGCCCAGAGTAAGCTTTGCACTCCACCAAGTGTTTCCCCCCAAATTGAAGGTGTTTATGCTCAAGGTAAAACAAATCTGTCAAGGCAAGAGATGTGCAAAGCATACAGATAGAAATAAAATGACTGAGTCCTGGTGACCAAATAACACGAAGCACAGTGATCTGGGGAGGGTGACGTGCCTGTGGAAAGGGAGTGTCTCCTGTCAAATTCCAGACAAAGGCAGTTGGACAAACAACCCCTGTGATGCCCTGGGATTAAA